AACAAAACAACAACAAAAAGCCAGAATGTGAATAATTATCTCAGCATCCCACACTCATGTTCTACTCCAATTGGTCACCCTGTTTCAGCCCTTAATTTTCCTGCTATCATCTACTCTCCACTTTTTAAACTTATCAGGTCATGCTATCCCTCTGGTAAGAAACCTACAGTGGTTTACATTGTTTTTCTGAATAAAAACTGAAGTCCTTGCAATGGTCTACCAGACCGAGCCCTTGCTATCCCAGACTTACACCTTCTCCTTTACTCTGCACTGGTTGCACTGGCCTCATGGAATGCCACAGGCATAGTTCCACCGTAGAACCTGCACAGTTCACTCCTTCACCTCCTTTAGAGGTTTGCTCAGATATCACCTCAGTGATATAGTTCCTGCTTTTGTAGGAGAGAAGAATTTGCCACTCAAAATATATTTCTCTAACATAATTATTTTAAGCTGGTTATTTTTAAGAAATAGCAGACATAGGAGAAGCTCTGGAAACTGCGTAGAAGAGACATTTAGATTTATAAAGGAATTCTCTATTGTAAAGGTGTCTCCCTCTCTGTACCAGGAAGACAAGGATGACTCAACCTCTAGAAACTCTTAGCAATGAAGAAAGCAATTACTTAGATCTACAGTCAGGCGTCCTCAAACTTTTTAAAGTGGGGGCCAGATCACAGTCCCTCAGAGAGCTGGAGGGCTGGACTATATGAACTACTAATTCCTACTGTAACACCTCGGCTGTGCTCACTGCCCAAAAAACCTGGCGGGCCGGATCAGACTCCTCTGCAGGCCGCATGTGGCCCGAGGGCCGTAGTTTGAAGACGCCTATAGAAACCTTGTGCTTGTGCTTTTCTTGGTTACTCCCATGACTGACTCTCCTATTGCTTTTAGTGGAGAATGGTATCTAAGGTGATAGTTTCAGCCATTTATGGTGAGTTACTCATTTCTCCCATATATATATAGGATGGATATATGTTATGAAACTTTTGTTTTTCTACTGCTCATCTTTTTATATTGATTATTAGACCAGCAAAGAACCTGGAAGGATAGAGGGGGAAAAATCCCCCTCCCGACACTTTGTGTTTTCTCCTTAGCATTTACCGTCATGCCATATACCATATCTTTCTTATGCTTAGTGTGTTGTTTATATTCTGCCACTAAGAATTTTACCCCCGTAAAGAGAGGAGTGTCGCTTGTTATGTGCACTGTATTCCCAGTACCAATAAGGTTACTGGGCACAGGTGCTCACCTATTAAACCTTGAATATTTTTGTTGTTAACTAGTTTGTGATTATTTTCCCAGGTGAAGATAGAGGTTGTATTGGCCCTGCTGGTACCTAAGAGAAAGATTTCTAGTGTATCATTAAGGTAAACAAAAAAACCAATAAAAATAAAATGAGCAAATTATAGTTCCAAATTGAAAGTTAAAGAATACATAGGCCATCTTCCTTTGAAAAGTAAAAATGAAAGGAAGGAAACCAGGCACATGTGTGTGTGGACAAAGTGGAAGATGGGCACATTCTCAGTGAGTCAAGCTGACACAGGGAAACTGCCTGTCAGACAATCCTGGGACCATGGATTGGACGGAGTAGGCAGGGTCACTGCAAGACAGCAAGCATTTTGGAATATATAACCCTCTAAACCAGTGGTCGGCAAACTGCAGCTTGTGAGCTACATGCAGCTTTTTGGCCCCTTGAATGTGGCTCTTCCACAGAATACCATGGCCTGGATGAGTCTATTGTGAAGAAGTGGCATTAGAAGTTTAAGTGTAAAAACTTTGGCTCTCAAAAGAAATTTTAATTGTTGTACTGTTGATATTTGGTTCAGTTGACTAATGAGTTTGCTGACCACTGCTCTAAACAAAGGAATTCACTCTCTTGGCTTGTGGGGCTCTCTTATTCCTGCTTCCTTGCATTTGCCCTCATGTTCCCTCCACAGGGATGTGGTCCTACAGACCCTCCATGCAATGGACTGGTGCACTGCAGTGGGGAACACAAGCTCTGGTAAGCTAGCCTCATGCTGGATTGGGCCCGGCTCTAACATGAAGTGAAAACTCTGGACAGTGGCTCTGATTGCAGCTCTGCTACAGCTTTTCCTTGGGGGAATGAAGGGAAATGGGTCCATGGAAATGAAGGGGTTTTGGTTCCACAGAAGTAAAACTTTCTACAATACCTCATCCTCCCATGAAAGGTTCAAAAAATTCTTTCTCTTGGGATATTGCAAGAATCTTATTCCTACCTACCAGCAACCGGTGGGGACGAGGACCTCTCCCCACTGATGCCAGACCTAGCTAATGAATAAAACAGACACTGACCCTCTAAAAAACTGAAAACCAAATGGATTTAGATGGTCAAAATTAATCCTAGAAGAGTATTATTTGTACAGGTGGAAAGGTCATATTTTTAAGAATTTCCATGACTAAACAATGATATATTTTTAAATCTAATACATAAATTGCTTCAGGTGTGTTTCATATCTATTTTATAGAGAGCTCAGGATATACGCTGAACATAGAAACAATAGGGGACACAAATAAATCTTTAACATTCAAATAGACTAAAGTTTACAGTATTATTCACTCTATAATTCATAGAATAATGATCTACATTAAAACAAACAGAAGTAATGCTATGTATTAATGAGCACAGCATTTCTGCTTCACCAATATTCTGTGTGCATTTGGTGTTATCAAGATGTTTAGTCAATAGCTGAAACATTTACCCGTAGCCAGTCAATTATAACTCCAGGAAATCAGCCACTGAATAAACTGTGCTATTAATTTTCCATCAGAGATTTGTGTTTGAATGACCATGCATTTCATAGATTTAAATACTGAAAGGCTAATTATCTCCAAGGTCCCATTGAGGAGACGGCATAGATTGCAATAAAAGCCAATCCAAAAATTGCTCAAAATGATCTTCAGCTTTCAGTGCTGAAGAACACTTTCATTTCTCTGTTACACAGACTAAGAGGACAGCATTTATACACAGTGTATTAACCTCCCAAAGCAATTTTCTTTCCCAAAACCTTTAAAAAAATAAACCTTTAGCAGTTTCTTATACACAGACATTCACTATTTTATAAAATATAAAGTAAAAGCTTATCTTCCTAGCATTTGTTTGATACTCAGATTATTATTATTATTTTTCCTTTTAAATGTCTCTCTCACAAAACACCCCCATTGTGAATAAACTGATATGGTTTAGTTTCTAGACTGCCAACATAAGAACCAGCAACTTTGTATCTTGAGGCATCTCTCTTTATAAATGCAACTGGCCTTCCCCTCTAAAAATGCTATGATACAGCCTGGCTTTAATGGTTCAGTGGTTGAGCATCGATCTATGAGCCAGAAGGTCATGGTTTGATTCCTGGTCGTGGCACATGCCTGGATTTCAGGCTGGATCCCCACTAAAGGGTGGGCAGGAGACAGATGATCAGTGACTCTGTTTCATCATAGGTGTTTCTTTCCCTCTCTCTCTCTCTGTCTCTCTCTCCCTTCCTCTCTGAAATCAATAAAAAATATATTAAAAAATAAAAATACTCTGATACATACACATAAATAATAAAGTTTATAGGCACATAGTTTCATATATTTTCTTCCTTCCTGATGAAGGGGAACAGAATACACCACCCCAAGTTGTTCACACTGGCAAGTGGATTATTTTGAGCTCAGAGCAATCAAGACCTAGCACTCAGGAAAAATCTGACCTCTCCCTTAACTACCTAAGAGAATATAGATAAGAAGCCAGTAACAGGAAGAGAAATAACTCTTAACAGAAATAACTTTTTTAAAATCTGAAAGACTTGTCTACATGGCAGGGCAAACATCTGTTTACCAAACATCTGTGCTCCTTATTCTCCTGCAGATTCCACTGCTCCCCTTGGAAAAAGCCCCAGGGCCCATCTCTTCCCTCAGCCCAGGATGGCACATAAACCTCAATGCAGGGGCTGCCTTTTAGTCCATGTCTTCCTGGGGCTTCCAGGCACGCATGATTAACATTCTTTTTCTCCTGTTAGTCCATCTTGTGTCAATTTAATTATTAGCCCGGCCAAAGGACCTGGAAAGGAAGGAGGGAAATGTTTTTCTGCCCCTCCACTGCCTTCCTGACTTCTTTCCTTTCTTGTAAAAGGAACTATAAAGCTTGTTTCTGGGATTTTTTTTTTTTTCATACAGAACTCATAAATGTGTGAATGGATTTTACTTTTCTTAAAATAAACAACAACATGGTAAGTAATGAAAAATTATGTTTATTTTGGTATTAACATTGACAATGAGTGGGAAAGTAAAATAATGGCAGCATATGTGGAATATTCTACTACAGAAGCATGATATTCTAAGTATCCTGAACTATCCACTGCCTTACATGATTTTGATGGTCATTAATATATATATATATATATATATATATATATATATATATATATATATATGTCTTTATTGATTTCAAAGAGGAAGGAAGAGGGAGAGAGAGATAGAAACATCAATAACGAGAGAGCATCATTGAATGGCTGCCTCCTGCACGCTCCCTACTGGGGATGGAGCCTGCAACCCGGGCATGTGCCCTTGGCCGGAATGGAACTCAGGACCCTTCAGTCCGCAGGCTGACACTCTATCCACGGAGCCAAACCGGCTAGGGCTTGATGGTTATTTCTGAATGACTTGCTACTCAAATATTAGGTGGCCCATTCATGAAATGTTTTCATATACACCTCTCTGAAGAAATTAGAGTCCTATATGACACCCAACTCACCTTGTAGTGATGATCAACATTCTCACAACTTAAGTTGCACCTCCGTCTTTGTCTGTGTATCTCTTGTAAGAAGGAGCATTGGCGTGGCCACATCTTTTCATGTGACGTCTCTTTTCCCACCCTTGGTGCCCACCCTGAAATTCCTTTCATGCAGCAGTGTTTATTATAATTTTTTCTCTCAGATGCCCACACATGCTACCACCAACAGAGACAATTCAACAACTTAACACATGTATAAAAACGCGGAAAGTACCTGGACATAGGCTCTGCAAGAGCGCTCCCTTTTCTGAAGCTGAGTCCAATAAGACAGCAGATTAAACACAGAATAGAAAAAACAAGTTAGTGACAGAAGGAACAAGAAAAATAAAAGAACACATCTACACAAAACACCTTATTTTGTTGAGCACCACTTCCTAGAAGAGGAATGATAGCTAAGCAGCAGCAACATGTAAGCCATGGCTTGAAAAATAGTGGCCAACACCCTTTCAGAACAGCCCAAAGTGAGAACTGGATGGTGTAAAGCTGTTAATGATGGAAGGAAATCTTGGAATAAATTTAGTAGAAATTAGTAAAAATCAACATACTTCATTCATTGTGAATGGTTAACTTCACACCAGGTTAGTTACTAATTCATGGGCCACAAATAAAGACATGAGGTTAAGTGACAAAAATTTGGAACCCATTTTTCAAAGATAGGATGTTGTTGTTTGTGGTTTACAGACTATATAGCTGGTTAATGTGCAACCACCAACTTTGTGTTCAAACATACAAAAAAATTCTGTTTACCTGAAAAATAGAAATGCCCAATTATGACTATTTGATTCTAAGGGACATAAACCAAGAGGTAAGTAACTTCTGATTAAAAGAATATGAACACTATCCTGATTTATCACTTTTATTTCCTAAAGAGTTTCTTTGGACAGTTTTGACCAAGTAAAAATATATACATTTGGAATCTTGTGTGTGGGATAAGAAAAAGCCCTTGTTTGTTTACTTATTTGCATATACAAGGATGTTTTACTGACCAAAAGGTTAACAGAAAGTCATGTTCAGTCCCAAACATCCCTACCCCCCCCCACCCTCAAAAAAGAATAATTATTAAGCTTAGTTGACCTGTTTCAATAAATGACCCAACATTTTACAAATTAGATTGTGGTTTCCCTACTCTTTCCTTTTTTTTTTTTTTCCTTTCAGTAGCCTTGATTGTTGGTGGAGAAAATTACTCAGTTTTAAGAAGCAGTTACTGTGATGCCTTTTGTGTGGCGAACACTGAACTTTTTAATGCATGCATTCTTCATGAGCACAGAGCAGTTACTCCCCCAAAGAATTAAGTGAGGAATGAGTGCGAGCAAGGTAATTGCCAGTGCTGTCATTTGGATCATTGACTCGCATCTCAGCTTTGCAGGACTAGAAAAACCCTCCAGAATTTCAATGGTGGAGCACAATTAATTTGTAAAGGAGTTGGCTTTGCAAATATGATGGGTTATGACTGCCTCAGGGAACAGTGGGAGTCATAGGAAATGAAAATAAGACAGCAAGCATGTGAATAACCTTTGCCCTCCCATCTCCTTACCCCACCATGCAAATTAACATATGACAGACCACATTATATAAACAACTGGAAAGAGCCAAATGGGGGGGGGAAAGGAGCGCATTAAAAAGCTTCCCAGATGGAAATTTGCCCATTACGTCGTTATTGGATATTCAGAGGCGGCAAGCTGATTAGCTGTAGCCAGTTAGAAAATGACATTAATTGCCAGCTTTACCTGATACTGTCAGACAGCAGCACCATTTTTAAATAAAGATGCAAACTATCGCTATAACAAGTAATGTTATGGATATGTAACATTAATAGAAACTACCACTTGCTGTACATTATGGTAACAATAGCTGGCAGCGATATTCATTAATAGCATCCAGTCAGCCTGGGTAATAACACATTAAAATCACAGCATGCCCAGATCACACAGGCAACTGTGGAGCATATTCTACCAGGGGCTTGGTTTGATTTTATCATGGATTTAAGTGACAAAAATAATTCCTTTATGCTCAGCATGAAAAAAAAAAAGTCTGATAATAATTTGTGTCTAGAAGATACATCTGAGTATGTTTTCTGATGCTAAAATTGCATACAAGTCTTTAGGCTTTCTTATACCATACTGTCACTACTGTAAAATTTTCTTCCATCTTAATGGGTGAGACCCTTAGTTGAACAAGACACAAAGAAGAACTAAATCTGTTTATTTTAAAGACCATGCTGAGAAAGTTACCTTTCATTCTAAAGGAAAATGTTCATTTAGTGAATTCTATGAAGGACCCTGTCGGTGACAAATTCTTGCTTTTTAAGCAGTAAGATTATCATATAGGCGAGGCTTTAAAATTCATTTTCCGTATCTGATCTTCTCTACTACACAAATATTGTCCAGGAACACCAGTTATTTGACAGCAGCAATTCTAATAACTTTTATCACGAGGTTAATTCACCCTGTGATATTTTGTTACAGAAGTTATGTTCCTTGAAATTTGTAAAAATAGATTTTATATATTTATTTAAATAAAGTATTTAGCTTATACAACATATAGGTTATATACAATATACATATAAAATGTCTATATGTGTATGCAATGTACACATATATATTTATTTATATATAAAATATAGGTTTTCTGAAATTTAAAAAATGAATTCTTTTCATTATTTACAATTCAAGTTTGCTGAAATACAATAAACCTTTTTAGGATTTAAGGTAGTTATATGCCATTAAAATATCAAAAGAAAATAAAAGTGAAAACCTAGTTATCTGCCCCATGAGTTTTGAAATGTAATATTAATTTAATTAAATTATTTCATCTTTAAATATATATGTAATGAATTGCTAACATCCTTTCTCAGTGTCACTATTTTCTAAATATCTACTATTTGATTAGACATTTGTTTTATTGTTAATTATATTAATATAAAAATTTGAAAGGAAAAAGTAGAAACAAAATAAATTGCATTTATTGATTTTGTGTGTAGCACACAACACAGAGTAAACATTATAAAAAATATAACTGTAAGTTCAAAATCTATATGGAGAGGTTATTTATTTGGGGGGGGGGGAATTAAAAGCTAAACAGGGCCATAATTACAATGAAATAGTGAACTAGCAGTGCGCTTTAGGACGATCTGATTTTATCTGAAGGAGCAATGCACCAAGGAAGTTTCACTGCCTTTCCTGCAGCTTTACAGGCGGACATAGCTGAGGTCTTTACCTTGTTCAAGCTGCGGGCAGCACTGTCTTTCCCGCCTGGAGTCAAGTTCCGGAGCTGGACGTCCAGGAGGCCGACCAGCTGATCCATGGCACGGACGGAGTAGGTGATGTCGCCAGCATGCAGATGATTTCGTGTTTGTTCAGCCAGCTCTCTAGCAATGTTGGCAGCCGTCTCTCCGGACTTCAACTGCAATTTTGAAAGCAGAATAAGAAGGAAAACCATCTTAAATAAGCAATTTTATTGGTCTCTGTGGATAACTGTTTTGCATAGAAGTTATAATCATTGAGCCAAGAAACAGTTATTCAACTCCATCTTCATCTGAACCATTCCCGGAGTTTTTTCTGCTAATCCATTTCGTTTTTTCCCCTCCCTACAGTCCCTGACTTGAAATTCATGTCTTTATGAAGCTCCCACTGAGGAATCTTACTTCAAAACCGCGTTCTCACCTTAATTAGCCATTTGGGTGGCGAAGTCTATTTGCTGTATTATTTTTCTCTGTGAGCTTCTAAATTGGATGTTGATGAGTTTGCATTATGAATCCCCAACCATATTCTAAGTTCTCAGAGGTATGGACATTCTCCACTGTGCCTAATTTAGAGCTTGGCATACAATGAGTACGCACAGGCTGCTACACTGTGAACATTTTATTCTACATAAAATCTTTGCATTTCAAAGTGGTCTTCATCTTTCCTACTTAATAAGAAATTTCGCTCCCAATACACTAGGTAGCAAGTTATTGCTGTTTCTAGCATTTTCCTTTTCTGAAACTGTATGCTAACTTTTAAAGTCTATTCTACAAGAATGGATCAAATTGCCAAAAAGCCAAAGATAGTCAAAGAGATAAAGGCTAATCCCATAATCATGTGAACAAATCAGATGGCTCTAGGTAATTAGAAGGTAGAAATATCTTGCTCTATTATAACTTAAATATATTATCGTCAGTATTTTAAAAAAGTGTGTGTGTGTGTGTGTGTGTGTGTGTTTCTCCTTATTTAAAGTACAGTCCAATACAGAACTTAGGATCACAAATGGAAGGGTCCTCTCTTTTTTGGGCAGTCTCTCTAATAGATATTCAGAAACTTATAAAGAGCACAACTAAAACTCCTAGTTGTGCCCTGGCTGGTTGAAACATCTGAAAACCAGGCTGATTCCAGGTCAGGGCACATGCCCAGGGTGCGAGTTTGATCCCTGGAAAATGATCGATGTTTCTCTCTTTGTCTCTCCCTCTCCCTTCCTCTCTCTCTAAAAAGTTCAATAAAAACAACAGTCAACAAAATGGTTCCCAATAACATAAGGAGCTTACATACCAGGGAGGACAATGGCTGTTTATAATAAATTAACTGCAGAAGTAATTCACTTCCATCTGATGGAGTGGAATATGGAATCCTGGTTTAAGGGCATTTTAATCTGGTACATGACATTAGGGAGTGATTTAGGAAATGCTTCTCCAAGGAAGAATGTTTCACCTGGGGTGGAGGGGGAAAGAGAGACTGGGTTGAGATGAGGGTGGGACCTCCAGGCAGAGAGCGCAGCTTTTAGGAGGGAGTGGAGGCTCAGGGGAAGAAAGGACTGGCACAGGGGCACTGCAGTGGGTATAAGCGGCTGGGGAGCTGAGCCAATCATGAGGAGGATTCAGTGAACCGTGCTAAACATAAGGAAAGACCCTTAAGTGTCTACACAATGAAGGAGTGGCCTAATCAGATTTGTACTGAAACCAAACCCAGGAGTTAGAGTGCTCAGGGTGAAGGAAAGGAGGCCTGTGTGAGGCCAATGGGTAGCAGCTGTGGTGATGAGGGGAGCAGTGGAGATTTACAAATGCCTGGAGAGGCCTGCTGTGGGGGAGGAGGGGAAGGCACCAGAGCTATGCACAGGCTTCTCCTGTCCCTAACTCAATGGGGGTCCCTCACTAGATTCTCCCATCGCCTCTGTCACCTGGACATTCATGGCTCAGGTACAGGTTGCCTTCCCAGACCAGGCCTTCCCTGACCATATTCTTCCCACTGGCAGTCGGAAGCTATTCTACTGTCCTTCTGATATTCCTATTGCCTCTCTCACCACTGTTGTTATGGGCTACAATGACCTTATTTCCAGCTCAAAATGCACATGTATCTGTTAGAAATGCATATGCTTTTATTGATTTCAAGAGGAAGGAAGAGGGAGAGAGAAATATATATAAACATAAATGATGAAAGAATCATTGATGGGCTATGTGCCCAGGCATGTGCTCTGACAGGGATCAGAACAGTGATCGCCTGGCTCATAGGACAGTAATTCAACCCCTGAGCAACACCAGCAGGGCAGTACACATCTTTTTAATTTGCCTCACGTCTTCTATGCAAAGGGAGAGCTTGAAATAGTTATTCTACATATCCTAGCTTATAGACATTGTTAAAATGTCTAGCTCTAACATTTCTTTTAGTAAACTCTGCTAAAATTATTTCTCAGAAATAAGCACATGCACCCTGAGAAATGTTATGAGTTTTTGGAGGATTAGTAAACTAATGCTTATAGGTACTGAAATGGTGGGATTATAGCTAGGATTAAATTAGGTGAGGGGAAACCCTGCAGCTTTAGTTAAGTATAATAATTATAACAGAGATGGATAGTATTTACATTTCAAATATTTACTCAAGTGAAAACAATTTTCTTTTAAATAAGCTTGACACTTTATGAGATTTATTACATCAAACATTAATTGAGTGCCAAAACAATTTAGAAAAGCGTTACTCCTAGTGTTTAAGTGTATGGCTGCTATTTCATTATTTTGCTATAAATTTAAGTCAAGTAGGTATGTAAACAAATGCTTCTATCTTACAATTGAAAGAAGGTTAAATACATTTAAAGTCTTGAAAAGTCCACCAAGCTCTGATAAAATTAAGAAGCAATTTATTTTCCTTTTGTATTAGGTCTATGGAGTGAAAGGAATGGGGAAATTACAACCTAGGTCATAGGATTCTACCTAGTCTTCCAGGGCAAATAACAGGCTTACTTTACATTGTAAAACAGCGGCAGTATTTTTTAGATCTGCACACCCTTCTTATTTAAAATTACAGGAAAAACCCTATTGCTCCCAAAATCTGTCAGTAGCTTGTGTACAAACAAAAGAGATGCTTCAATTTGCTAGAAACTGAAAGACTATTTCCCAGTGCCAATTCAGGCATTTCTTTTCTGAATAATAGTTGGAAAAAGTGATGAAGTAGGAAGCATACCTCCTTTTACGTGAAAATATGAAAGCTATTCAAACCATAATCCCTTAGAATTTTACACTGAAAAGGACTGGAGAGATTATACAATGCAATAAACTCTTTAAAGGTATTCAAACCAGAAAATATAAACTCCTTTTTTGAAAATCCGAGTCTAAGCAAGAGATGTAGCTGAAGTCGGAGACTGTGATTTTGGTAAGCAGTCGTTAAGAACAGGGAGAAATAGGATATTTTGCCACATAGGTTTGAAAAGACAGAGCTCTGATTTAATTGGTTGGCTTTCAATAAAAATGGGAAAATATTTTTTAAAACATTAAAATGAAGATGTATCGCCGAAACTGGTTTGGCTCAGTGGTAGAGCTTCAGTCTGCGGTCTGAAAGGTCGTGGGTTCGATTCTGGTCAAGGGCATGTACATTGGTTGCGGGCATATCCCCAGTAGGGGGTGTGCAAGAGGCAGCTGGTCGATGTTTCTCTCTCATCGACATTTCTAGCTCTCTCTCTCCCTTCCTCCTCTCTGTAAAATATCAATAAAATATATTAAAAAAAATAAAATAAAATGAAGATGTATCTATCTATGTTTCCATACATCCATTTGTTTTTAACTGCCTTTCATCCTATCTATCCAACCATCCATGTATCTGGGGAGGCTGGGAAGGAGAATAAACAGGGAGAGTGAGGTCAGAGGTTTACTCCCCTACATCTCTTTTTGGAAAAGTGCTTGAGGCGAGGCTGTGTCTCTTGTCTATAGTCATCTTTCGCCTCAAGGACACCCTACTGCCATTTTTTAGTCATTCCTTGGACCCAGCAACCACAGGCCTGGGTTAGGAACAGCTCTACCCCTACTATTATTAGCTCTGGGCTCCCGATCAGTCTCCTGCAGTTCACCTTTGCGCTCCCAATATCACTGCAAACCCTCTTACATCTGCTCATTGTCTGGACTCTGGCCCTGAGGGAGGAAATGAGCAAAGATATGCATTTGGATGGAGATGCTTTGGAGAAAAGGGAGAGAAAATACAGATAAATAACTTCCGTGAACACTGCATACTCATTATTTATTGGAAGTTTCCAATGTTAATATCTGAAAGCGTTGGAGCTTTGTGGCAAAGAAACCTGTGCAAATACAATTTACAGTCGATGCGTAGCATAAACATTTGGAGGTGCGAGGGACACACCAGGCAGAAGAGAGACCAGGTCAGTGAGTATGTGATAGAGAGGCAATCGTAATTTATTCACGGTTGTGGTGGCTGAGCATGATGTCCGGGTAAAGGCGGAGCCGGCTAAAACACCAGCTAACGCAGACCTTGGGTGAGTTACATAAGCCGATTGGTTGTGCGCGAAAGCCTCCTGTTCTAATTTTGAAGATTTTATAAATTTATAATCAAGCTAAGGTAACATTATCCATTCCAATTGCCTGCATCCTATAATCCTAATAAATTTATAACCTCGCATAATGTTGGAGCTCCATAGGATTCAACAGACACGCTCTGGCAGAACAAAACATATTTGTTATAAAACAAAAGCACCCCGTCCATAAATCAAATGGGCAACAACAGCTGCCTGGCCTGTGCAAGGAATTATCTCTTTTGTCATAAGATTAGCAGGTCTGCGGAGGGAAGAAAAGAATTAAGCATCATTAAAGTCACCCAGTAATTTCTGCAATGAAATAGTCCAACCATATTCAGGAATTGTCTTGAAAACCACTCAGCTTTCTAGGTGAATTATTACCGAATTAATATTAACCCCTGGGCTAAGCATGCGGGGAGTATTTTTTAAAAGAAGCTAATGTGAAGAGATAGGCTACTGAACTCTTAATCTGATCACAGCGGCCAGAGCTATTCCCCCCGGGGTCTGAGCTCCACTGCCATAAAATCAAAGGACATAAAAATGGTGGCAGGAACAGTGCTGAAATTAGAGGAGCATCATTATGAATAGCAACAAGGATGGAGATGCATATGTAAGAGGGTAACTACAGTCAATGGGACCACTGTTCTTCCGCGATTTAGGGTAAATAGATAGTTATGGCTCATCTGCTAAATGATCTGCTGGGTAAGATATTTATGGATTATTATACAGTCTATTATTGAGGATCAGCCTAGTTAAAAACAAATAGAGGAAAGAGCAAATGGCACAGGCAGGCTTTTAGGAAGGCCATCATTTGTAATATTTCTCAGGGAAAAAAAATCTCAGAAATTCCTTAGCATAGCTAATGCGCCATGGAAGGTCTCTCCATGTTGGGAGTGCATAAATCCACACAAATTGCTGTAATAAGGATTCATCCCATAGTCCTTTTGGCATAAATGCACATCTGGTCTCTGTTTGTAATGAAATCAATGCAAAGCCCCACAGTGCATTAATAATAAAAATGTTCGACATATTGCAACCCAATAAGCTCTGCAAACTAGAGTCTGCAAAAGGCTGTCACGTGTGTGTACACTTTTAACACTGATAAATGATTAGGTTACAGAACATTTATCAAGCTGCTTAAGATTCCAAAGGTAGACTGTTTTTATTGTAATTTTTATTTCCACAGGAAAATCTCTGTGTTATGTATGTTATAAGCTTTTGCTTGCTTGATTTATAATATCTCTTGGACTTTTTTATCTGCAGTTCACAATACCTTAGAAATTGTATCCTATATAATAAAAGCCTAATATGCAAATCAACTGAACGGGGGAACTACTGGTCACTATGACCTCATTAACCACCACAGGGCAGTCCCTCAACACAGGAGCTGCCCCCTGGTGGTCAGTGCACTTCCACAGGAGGAGCGCTGCTCAGCCAGAAGCTGGGATCACAGCTGGGGAGCACAGTGGAGGAGGTGGGAGGTCTTTTACCTCCAAGGCAGCGCTAAGGAGCAGTGAGCAGATTGGCAGTAAGGAGTGAGGGGTCCGGAACTGCGAGAGGCAAAGGTTGGGTTGAGGGACCTCAAATTTTGTACACTGGGCCTCTAAGTTAATAATAAAATTATTAGCCGAAACCATTTGGCTCAGTGGATGGAGCATCGGCCTATGGACTGAAAGGTCCCAGGTTTGATTCTAGTCAGGGGCATGTACCTTAGTTGCGGGGGTGTGCAGGATGCAGCTGATTGATGTTTCTCTCTCATCGATGTTTCTAACTCTATCCCTCCCCCTTCCTCTCTGTAAAAATATCAATTAAATATATATTTAAAAAATAATAAAATTATTATTAGTAGTACTGCTTGGCTTAGAAGCAGATCTCAAAGTTACCCTTCAAGAACAAGAAAATTCCAGAATTACCGTATTTTTCGGACCATAAGACGCACCAGTTTTTAGAGAAGGGAAATGAAGAAAAAAAGATTCTAAAACAAATAGTGTCCTAAAATATTTTATGTGCATTAAAACCCAACATCACAGTCATAAACACATGTAATCAACCCTGTAAAGTAAACAGCAGCATTTAGAACCATTTCAGAGCCGGGCAAGCACACAGAGACCACACAGAGCCGGGCAAGTAGAAAAATCTTTTTTTTTAAAGTATATGTGTAGGCTATATTTGGACCATAAGACGCAGGGACTTTTTCCCCCCCACTTCTGGGGGAAAAAAAGTGCGTCTTATGGTCCGAAAAATACGGTAGTTCAGATGTTGACATTCAATCTTAAATTAAATAAAACTGAGAGACTCTTTCAACTTTTTTTTTTTTTTTTTTTTTTTTTTTTTTTTTTTTTGTAATCTTGCTCCTGTTTATAGCAGTGATGATCAACAACACAGGGTCCAGGTTTGGCAGACCTTCCTTGCAGGTCACATGATTTACCTTCTGTGTGATGTGGTTGATCCAAGGGGAAGAGCAGTTGCTAAGATCTGGCCCTTGGGGATCCCAGATTCCATCCGGAGCCAGGCATAGATACGTTGATACTCCTAAAATAATGAGAGAAATAGGTCTGTCTTAGAAATTCAAACCATTTTCCTACCAGGACTGTATATCCATGCTATGCTGTAATATAAGCAAAAGTAAAAATGAGATCATTACACTAAGATAATATCTATTATAACACTATGCCCAGTACCTGGCAAGTGACTGGTTAGGGAGAAATGTAATGCAACAAACAAAAAACATTCAATATTTTCAAAGCACTCGCTGGTAACTATGCCAGGTAGGGGAAATACTCCATGAATTAGATGGATATGGTACCTGTCTCCAGGGAGCCGACTGCTTGCTTTCCAGAGCTAATGGAACAACTGAATCTTACAGAAATCTGTTGGCCAGTTGGCAGGGTTGTTTTGTTTTGTTTTGTTTTTTTTAAAATAACGTGGGAAAGGGCATTCACCGAAAATGGAGGAAAAAATGCCGTGTTTATGTGGCTTCGAGTGTTTTGAACAGAGGCCTACAGGATAGGGGCATTGTCTAATGGCGTAGGAGAGGTAGGCAAAGCCAGCTCATCAACTCCCTTGTCTGTCTTGTGTGGGTGCTGGGAAAATCAATGAAGGTCATTAAGCAGATGAGAGAAATGAGCTGATTAAGGTTTTAGAACTGCCACTGTGGCAGCCTCACGGAGGATGAGTCTGAGGGAGCGACGTGGAGGTTGTGAGGGGGTTGCAATAATTCCAGTGGGAGACTGGGTAGGCCCCAACAGCAGCACAGGAGGAGGGTCAGAGGACAGGTAAAAAAAATAAAATGTAGGCACAGTCAGGTGGGAGAGCTGCAGAAGGCTTCCTTTAAATCTCTTTCCCAGTTTTCACAGAACAATGAGGACACAGTTCAGGTTTTCAAAGTGCTTTTAAATAAAGCATTTCACTAACTTTTACAACCAACGCCAGAAGTAGGGGTTTGTAATACTATCAGTGGGTCCTCAGAACTAATGGGACGGGGCTAGGAGAGTTTTCTGATTCCACTGCCACACAAGGCTTTAGAACTGAACATCACCCCGCTTCATAAAGGCACAAAAGTTCCATTTAATTTTATTTTTCCCATAAAGTGTTAAAAACTATTCAGAAGATAGATTTCTGGATAGTTTTTAAACACTTTATGGGAAAAATAAAATTAAATGGAACTCTTGTAAAAATCAAGATACCTCTGGCCTTCCAATTAGTTTATATACCATGGAACTTTTCTCAGAGAAACGTGATTCCTTAAAGTAATCAAATCAATAACACAAAATGCTACTATAGTGACATCTATTGTGTGTTTGCCTCATTTACACACCTTATGAATAATGCAAATTTTATTAATTGTATTAAGAAAAATTTCTTGAAGATCAATGTATGTAACAATAAGAAAATCAAGCCATTTCTGGTTTAAAAATTGTACGAATCATATGGTTACCTCTTGAGGATATTATGAATCTTATCAGTAAAAAAGGTGGAAAGAGCTGTGTAGTTCTTAATTGTCCCTTAGTGAAAATGCCAGATTGCTCTTGTTGAGCCTTTGACTATTAAAGGACAGCTACAACGATTGGTAAAAAAAATAGTCAGACTTCTCTTTTGTTAACATTTAGGTAGTTTCAATGACTGTCTTCTAACAGAGAAGTGCTCAGTCTCTCTTTCTGCAATGACCACTTAGGCTGGTGACAACAGTGAGCACGAGCCCCCTGCATTCCAGTGATTTCTCTCTGGGCCGCTGCATAGAAGAGCTGCTGTGGCCACGGCTGGTTAGCTCAGCTGGTTAGAGCACTGTTCTCATAGGCCAAGGTTGTGGGTTTGATTCCCTGGTCAGGGCACATACAAAAATCAACCAATGAATGCACAAAAAAGTGGAACAACAAATCTCCCTCTCTCATTGGTGGTGTCTCTCTCATTAAGGAAAACACACACACGCACACACACACACACACACACATGCACGCACGCACACATGCACACATAAGAACTTGCCTCTCTGGGGTAGCAGGGACATTCATGGCCTACATGTACTAAGTGTAACTCTATCCAGAAACAACTGCAGACTATGGATGAAAAGTACTGATCTCATCAAAGTCTCACCTGTTCCTTCTTCAGAATGCATTTTGAAACTCTGAAAATACACTTCATTAAGTTGTCATTTTGCTGAGTACCAAAAAGGAGAGGTAAAAAACAAAACAAAACAAAAAAACCCAAAAAAACAAAACGCTTAAAAGGCAAGCCAAAGTAGCCACACATCTTTAGCCCCGTTCCACAGGACAGACTTACCTATGGTTCCCGTGGGGCACGGCTGCTTTGCCGTCTGTCCTTGACGGGTCTTAAACCACGTGATCTCCCGGGCTTCCACAGCCTCACAGCTTTCCTCCTGAGCTGGGATCTGGGATGGCGCGGATGGCAGGTGCGTGGTGGTGTCATCAAGCACTTCCACAGCTGGCGACGGTGTGCTGGTACTCCGGTTCCTTCTCCCTGATACTGACGGGGTGGTACTCCTGGCGGCACTCAACGTCGTGGTGCGAAGGGTGGTACTGGTGGTGGTGCTTCCCATGCCAAAGGGTCCTGTGGTAGAAATTTCTGGAATAAAATTCAAAAGAAAATTCCTACATCGCTTGTTCATAGTAGGATCTCAAAACGTCCTTAGAATGTAGACACCATTCTTATTTGACAGTTCAGAGTCTTATGCCTGGGAGAGATAAGCCAATAGGAAGGGATCAGAGCGGGGCTTAAATACGAAGACAGCCATGTGACCAATGCCAAACATAGACCTGTTTATGGTTCTTCTCAACTCAAACCACAAAAAACAAATTGTAGCACAATTCAACTCTTCAGTAAGCTTCTTAATGCTTCCTGCCTTTTATACAATTAGAGGATTAAAACTTAAAAGTCCTTTCCTTAGAATTTTCAAACCTGCTATGGACAGGGAGAGAGCAGAAACAATCTTCACACGTTAAGTATAACCTGCATTGCTAAAGATGCAGCAGATAGGAGTAAGACAAAAAAAAGAAAAAAAAAAGAAAGAAAAAAAAAAGAAAAAAAGAAGTTAAAGTGCCCCTGAACTAAAAAGGAAAATGCAATTATAGTCTCCTTAACACAAATTAGAGTAGCTCTATGATCTACTCTGATGCACTTAAAAATGACCCATCCTTTCAGAACTTTCAAACTTGACATTTACTAATGTAAAGCCTAAGTAGTTTCCAATTAGTTGTGTCCATAAATTATTTTCTATGTAGATTTATTTAAAAAGCGGAAATGTGTATTTCAGATTTACATAAAAGTAAAGAGGTTTCTTGCCTTCCAGATGCACTGGGCCCACCAGAGGGAGCCACAGCTGTGGATCACTGAGCACTCCAAAAAGGATACTTAGGGCCAGTCACAAACAGCACCTGACATTGGCCTACACCAGAGACTCCCCATGTCCCCCCAAAAAAGCCTGGGAGTCCTTGCAGATCTTCCTAATACACAGAAACAAACCCAAACAGGCAGCCAAAAAGGGGAGACAAAAAACAAGTTCCAAATGAAATGACAAGAGGAATCTCCAGAAGAAGATAAATGAAACTGAGACAAGCAAATGATCAGATACAGAGTTCAGAGCAATGATTATAAGTATGAATGAGAAAAGATACAGAAAGTATGAAAAATGACTAGTTGGCAATGAAGAATGACATAGCAGAAACAAATAATAGATTGGAAGGAATAAACATCAGGTTAGAGGATGCTGAGGGTCAGATAAGCAAATTAGAAGACAGGGTCATAAAACTTCACTAAATCAGAAAACCAAAAAGATAACAAAAACAAACAAACAAACAAAACAGGACAGCTTAAGAGAGCTGTGGGACAACATAACAATAGCTACATAAAAGGTGGGCCAGAAGGTGAAAAAAGTGAGCAAGGAATAGAGAATCTGTGTAAAGAAACAGTGGCAGGAAACCTCCCTAATCTGGTGGTGGTGGTGGGGGGGGGGGGAGTCACATAATTTCAGGAGGCACAGAGAGTCCCAAGCAAGAAGAATACATATAGGCCAACACCCAGACACATAATAATTAAATCCCAAAAACTAAAGTCAAAGAGAGAATCTTAAAGGCAGCAAGAGAAAAGCAATTTGTTACCTACAAAGGAGCTCCCATAGATACCACAGAAACACAAAGAATTGTAAGGAAAATACTATGAACGAGTATTTGCCAACAAGTTGCACAAAGTGGACACAATGGTCAAATTCATAGAAAAATACATTCTTCCAAAACCAAATCAGGAAGAAGCAGAAAACCTGAATAGGTTGATAACTGCTGATACTGAAGCAATAATAAAACTACTCCTAGCAAACAAAAGCCCTGGTCCTGTTGGCTTCACAGTAGAGCTTTACAAAATATTCAAAGAACTAAGACCTATCCTTTTCAAACTATTCCAAGAAATCCAAGAGGAAGTAACACTTCTAAGCTACTTTTACCAGGGCAGCATTATCCCAATTCAAAAACAAATAAAATCACTGCAAAGCAAGGAAATTACAAGCCAATATCCATGATGAACATAGATACTAAAATCCTCAAATCCTCAACAAAATATTCGCAAATCTGAACCAGCAATATATCAAAAAGATTATACACCATGACCAAATGGGGCTTATCTCAGGAATGCAATGCTGGTACAATATTCACAAATCAATAAACATGATATGTCACATAAACAAACTGAAAGATAAAAATTACATGATCATATCAATAAACACAGAAAAAGCATTCAAAAAATCTAACAAGACATTTAAAAAAATATATATTTTATTGATTTTTCACAGAGAGGAATTGAAAGGGATAGAGAGTTAGAAACATCAATGAGAGAAATATCGACCGGAATCGAACCTGGGACCTTTCAGGCCGACGCTCTATCCACTGAGCCAAACCGGTTTTGGCTCAACAAGTCATTTTTATTAAAAACGTTCAACGGAGTGGGAATAGAAGGATCATATATCAATATAATAAAGGCCAAACCTACAGTCAACATCATACTCAATAAGCAAAAATTAAAAATGTTTTCCTAAGACCAGGGACAAGACAGGGGTTCTGCTTTCACCACACTTATTCAACACAGTACTGGACATCTTAGCCACAGCAATCAGAAAAGAAGAAGAAATAAAAGGCATCCAAGTTGGAAAGGAAGAAGAAAAACTATCATTATTCTCAGATGTCATGATATTGTACATAGAAAAACCTAAAGACTCCACCAAAAAACTACTAGATTCAATAAATGAATTTTGCAGTTTAGCAGGATAGAAAATTAACAACCAGAAATTAATGCCAATTTTATACACCAATAATGTACTCTTAGAAAGGGTAAATAAAAAAGCAACCTCATTTACCATTGCAACCAAAAAAAAAAAAATTAAAATGGTTAGGAATAAACTTAACCACGGAGGTAAAATGCCTATATTCTGAAAACTATAGGAGATAAAGAAGTGGAAGAATATAGCATGTTCATGGGTTGGTAGAATCAACATAATTAAAATAGTACCCAAAGCAATCTATAGATTCAATGCAATTCCTATTAAAATGCCAATGGTATATTTTACTAGTACAGATATAAAACAAATACTCTAAAAATTTATATGGAACTAAAAAAGACCTTGAATAGCTATAGCAATCCTGAGAAAGAAGAAAATTGGAGGGACCACATTACCAGTTATTAAATTATACTACATAGCCACTGTAATCAGAACAGCCCAGTACTGGCATAAGAACAGGCACATAGACCAATGGAACAGAACAGAGACCCCAGAAATCGACCCAAGGCATTACACTCAATTATTATTTGACAAGTGAGACAAGAGCATACAATGGAGTCAAGACAGTCTCTTCAATAAAGGTGTTGGGAAAATTGGACAGATACATGCAAAAAAAAAAAAAATGAAACTACACTATCAACTTACACCATACACAAGAATAAACTCAAAATGGACAAAAACTCAAATGTTAAGTCATGAAACCAAGAAATTCCTAGAAGAAATTATAGACAGCAAAATCTCAGACATCTTTCATAGCAATATGTTTGTGAATACCTCTCCTAAGGCAAGGGAAAACTAAGGGAAAAAGAAACAAATGAACTACATCAAAATAAAAAGCTTCTGCACAGCAAAGAAAACCCATCATCAACCTGAAAAGGGAGCCCAGTATATGGAAGATCATATTTGCCAATGATACATATAATAAAGGTTTTATACCCAAATTATCTAAGAACTCATACAGCTTAACAAAAGACAAACAATCCAATAAAAAATGGATAAAGGACCTAAATAGACACTTCTTCAAAGAGGACATACAAGAGGCTAAGATAATTATGAAAAAATGCTCAAAGTCACTAATCATCCAAGAGATACAAATCAAAACAACAAGGAGATACCACCTCACACTTGTCAGAATGGCTATCATCAACAAATAAACAAATGTCAAGCGCTGGCGAAGATGTGGAGAAAAGGGAACCCTTATGCACTGCTGGTGGAACGTAGGCTGGTGCAACCGCTGTGGAGAACAGTATGGAGTTTCCTCAAAGAGTAAAAATGGAACTCCCATTTGATCCAATGATCCCACTTTTATGAACATACTAGGAGCCCATTGCAGGAAGATTCCTGCCAGCGGCCACCACAGCCTCTCGAGCTGCCACCACCACAACCTCGCAAGCTGCCACCAGCTTGGCCCGCCCACCCACCACTGCTGCTACCATTGCTGCCATTGTGTCCTGCACACCACCCTGTCCAGCCAAGCTGCTGCCACTGCCACTCACTCTGTCCGCGCTTTCCCTCTGGCAACTACCTTGCTTTCCACTTTCCCTCCCTCTTCCTTCTAAGCTGTCTTCACTCCTCCCTCCCTCAGTATATGCAAATTAACCACCATCTTTGTTGGGTTAATTTGCATACTTGCTATGATTGGCTATGGGCATAGCTAAGGTATAGTCAATTAACATTTTTCTCTTTTATTAGTGTAGATTCTAAGAAACCCAAAACATCAATCAGAAAAAATGTATGCATCCTTATGTTTCATAGCAGCACAATTTACAATAGCTAAGATCTAGAAACAGCCTAAGTGCCCATCAGCTGTGGTACCTTTACACCATGGAATACTATGCAGCAGTAAAAAAGGAGGATTTCTTACCCTTTGAGACGGCAAGGATGGAGAGTATTAGGCTAAGCAAACTAAGCCAGTCAGAGAAGGAAAAGTATCACATGATATCACTTATATGTGGGATATAATGAACAAAATAAACTGGCAAACAAAACAGATCCAGAGACTTAGAAGCATGAAACAGACTGATGACTCTCAGAGGGAAGGGAGATAGGGGAGCAGGGGAGCCAGAAAGAGATTAACTGAAGAATTTCTATGTGTATATGCATAGTCCATGGACACAGACAATAGTGTGGTGAAGGCCTGGGGGTGGGGGAGGCAGAGTGAAGGGAGTCAGTGGGAAAGAAAATGGGGACTTATGTAATACTTTCAGCAATAAAAATAAATTTATAATAAAATAAAATTCAATTTTTCTCAGTTCATGACCCAAAATCTTTATTTATTTTTTTTTTTAAAGTGGTGGTTAGG